TGACGAACACAATAACATGGGAATATTGGCTTGGCCGCTACTTGGCAACTCTACCTCATGCTGTGCCATAACCCATAAGGTACTTATTGACTGGTTTTGGACACATATCAATATCAAACCCTTGGCTTCTCAAGTTTCTGCTGCTCATGAACAACCCGAAGGGATGATTGTTTAACTGATTTTGGGGGATTTTTTTCACAATTGTGAGTTGTCTATACAACACTGTCTTACCCAGGAAGAAAAAAAAGAGAGGAGGGGGGGGGGGGATGTGAAGTCACACAATTATGAGAAGTAGGTAAACTATGTTGTTCAAGTGTTTGAACTTTGCAACCTTGAAAAGATTAAAAATCAACACTTAGACTTTGTTTGATAACTCAATTCAATGCTTAAAATTAATGAGTTCAGATATTAACACGTTCAAATGTATTTTAATGTGATACACGTTCAAATGTATCAAATTTACTATTTAACAATTCAGTCACTTATTAGATTTCAATTTTATCAAATGCACCCTTAAAAGACAAACCTATGTGGGTATTATTGGTATTGTATATTTGATTGCGAACTTTAAGATAAAATTACTCTTTAAGACGACAGGTGAGGCAAGATTTTGGGATGCTTCTATTGGTACAGGTGTGCCAAATCATCACTTAGTCTAATTAGCTGTAAAGATTTTTGTGGCAAAAAGGAAGAAAAAATATTGTTGGACCAATATTTCAACCATTTCAAACTCAGTTCAAACTGGATGAATTAAAATAAGTGTTTCTCTAAAGTGGGGGAGATAAAAATTTGTCTTGGATTCAAGTATTCCCATTGTGGATTAAGACCAGCAGCTTTGGGTATCAAAGTAGTGGAGTTGTAACCTGTTCTGATTGCAATTTTGGGAGCTTTTTTTTTAATAATTTTTGTTAAAAAAAAAGTACAATACAAGTACTATAGTTTTGAATATGATGACGTATATAAAATAAAAACATAATTAACAAATGCATTAATAGAATATTCTCAAAAATTTTCCACCAAAACTGGCAAGCCAAAGGGGAAGAGGACCATTTAACTAAAGAAAACTACACTAATATGAATCAAGTATGGGCAGAGATCAAACACATTTCAGTACCAAATGCTGTGCACAACCCACAGCTTTGGTAAACTGGTTTCCCATAATTTTGCAAACTCAAATGATACTTGTACTTCTACATCTTCTGGTGTAACACAACTCACGTATTAACGTACAACTCTGTCCCCTCTGTGTCACAACAAAAGCTATAAATGCCTCAATGTCTTGGAGAACCGTCCCTGCCAGTTAATGGCCAAGATTTGGCCAACAAAATTTGCAAGGTCCAGATTTTAACATGTGTGGGATCCATAAAACGTTGTTCTAGTATTACTCGCTGTTGTTTTAGTGTTATATCGTTTACAAAAGATGTTACACAATGTACAAAATGCATACAAGCTTCCGGGACGGTTGCACTGACAACCGTTCCAACCCTGTGTCCCAATGTCTTGTTGAGTAGTGTAGACTGTAGAGTCTCTCTTATTCTAGTTTTTTTTTTTTTTTTGTCAATCGTCACTTATCTATCCTACTCCTACCTTACCCTATTCTAAGGAGGAGGGCCCAACTGAACCAATTAGAAAATCGACAGGAATTGAATCACCATTGCACCAGACATATGCACTACGCACCCATATGAATTTAACCTACTTAAAGCGGCAAGCTACAAACAATAGTAAGTGATGGAAGACAATATTTAAACCCTTGACCTCCCACCTATCAAGTCTAAACGCTATGATGGTGGCCAGCAGCCCAAAGACTGTCGGTTTCTCTCTTATTCCAGTTGCACTACCCTACTCCTCTCTTATTCTAGTTGCTACTCGAGAGTCTGAACCACAATATTGGATACTCCCTATAAACAGTGTCAGGTTGCAGAACTGCATGTCATGTGATGGCATTCCAAAATACCATGTCTCTTCTCACATCTTTATCCTTCACCGCTTGAGGTATATTAGAATTAGAAATCCTAGGAAATCCAAAACAATATGTATATATTACAACCCTAGATTTGGTTTCTTGATGTACGAGATTCATACTTAATAAAGTCGGTGGCATGGAATCTCACGAATAATAATGTTTCAACACCAGGCACTGATTACTGTATAAAATTGGACCAATATCAACCTTTACCGGAGTGTTGTCCATACCAATTCTTGATTAAGCACCTTTTGATCATTGTTTTAGTGAATTGTTACGGCATCGTAAACATATTTTTTAATCACTTTTTTAATCTCACATACATCACATCAAAAAAGTGCTATGGTATTTTTTTTAAAAAAATTATTCCAAATAATCTATTATCCAAACACACTAAATTTTTAAAGCAGCTGGGGAAAATATAATCGTGGTCCGAATTTGGCCAATGGGAAAACGAGCAGTTACTAATTAGTTCATTAGAGTTGCTTCAACATTAACTTTTAGTAGTATTCCACTATTTGATATGCGTAAAGCTAAACTTAAGCACTGATTAGTATTACCATTATTTTGAGTTAAACTGCAAGTGCAAAAGTGAACGTCGGCCTAGACTCCTAATGGCAACAAGTACATCAAAGCATGACACATGTATATAGATCTGAAAATCAAACGATACAACAAATCTAAAAAGCAATAAACTTGATTATAATCTTGAAACACCGATAAACTCTGAGAGTATCTTGCATCAGATGAATATCATTGGAACCCAATACATTGGTGCCCCTTATCTTCCAATAGTCAGATTTGATCAAAACTACTCGAGCCAAAGAAACTTGTTTTTGTACAGCAAATTATATGAAAAAAAATTGATTTGTATGGTCATATTTTTTCAATCACCATTTTCCTTCGATCGAGCAGTTTTTCTAGATCTTCCATACAAGTCGAAAAGCAAGTGAACCTTAAGAGTCGGATTTAAGTTCAATGTGACAAGAACACAGCTCCCAGGCTAGATAAAGGCCTCGCCAGAGGAAATGGAGCAAGAACGGTTGCAGGAAACAACCGTTCCGGAAGGTTGATAGCCAAGATTTGGCCAAAAAAATGTAAGATCCAGATTTTATACATCATTTTTCACATTATGTGTGGGACCCATAAAATTTTGTTTTATAGTTACACGTTGTACAAAATGAGTTATATCATGTGCAAAATCTGTCTGAACAATTTTTCTTTGACTGTTCCTGCCCCTGGTCCCTCGCCGGATCTGAAACAGACTATAAAAATGTGTGAATTTCTTGCCATACCATAATCAATAGCAAATTTTTCATGTGCTCGATTTGGACTCCTACAGCATAATGAAATATGGGCTTTTCACTGTCTGCACCAGTATTGGGTCCATTTCATTGGAGCTTGTATTGAAGGAAACGACACCAAGTAATACCAAGTAATTGGGCTTTGAAGTCAATGTCTGCTTGAGCTAGCTTGTAGACATTTTCTCCAAAACAATACACAACTGATTTTTTTTTTCTTTCATATGGTGCACCTGCACAGGCCAATAAGAAATCAATGACCAGACTAGGGAGGACAACAGGGGCAAATGTCTACCGGGGAAGGAATGGGGCGGGAGAATTTGCCTCCGCTCTACCGTCCGCCTAAATTTTAATATAGTATAACATTTACGTATGTTTTAATATGCATAATATGAAATAAATACTATATTATTATTATATAAATATATTTGCATGAATTAAGTAACACGTCATGTTATTATGATAAAATGATATAATATTTTGCTAAAATTTCAAAAAAATAATAGAACTATTATTAGATCTATATAAATAGAAAAACTTAAAGTAAATAAGAAATAATAATGATAGTAAGGATAGGGCGGGTTCACCTGTAAGATAGTAGAGCAGGGTGGGGGTGGGGGCAAGGGCAGGGGTTGGAAGAGTGGGAGATAGAATGGGAACAGGAAGAACCTTTGTAGACTGAGACGATGATAGATAGAATTTCTCCCAACGCAAAACCGTCTCGTTGTCATCCCTAGATCAGACTAAGTTCTTATTCACCCCTATAAAAATGTTGAGTTACTTGATTTGAAAGGAGTATCTTTGTCACGATGGCACCATCTAATTGCAATGACAGTTTAAAAATATACAATCATGAATAGCATACACATAATACCCAAAAAATAAAAAGCAAAGAAAGGAAAGCTACTACTGGGAACACCATACATGTACACTAACACACACAAGTACAAGGGAGAATACCTTACATTATTTTTGGCAAGCTACATCGACTAACATACTGCAAGCAATGGACAATGGACTCATATAATAAGCCCCAAAGTTAGATGAAAACTTTCTTTGCAAAATAACTTATAAAACCCAACACTGTGCAATTCAATGTCCTCAAAGAGTAAATGGTGGGTAAGTAAAGGAAAAAGTCCAAACTTAACAGGCACAAAACTGCATAATGGGCCAAAAACACCGACTTGTGAGGGATTAATATGTAAGCATTGAAAATTTTAAGACAAAATGTATTAAAAGTTTTAATGGGTCAATGGCAATTTGACCTTCCAAAGCAGGTGGAAATTCAAATAGCCTGTTAAATCTATAAGTTTTAAATTTTTCTTAGGGAAGCAAAAACAAATTGAAAAGTTTAAGAAGATAAAACCACAAAAGTATGAATCATATTCCTACAGATTTGTTGAGTCATTAGATGTTAGAATTTGGATGGAATTAAACTAAAGGGCCAAATATATTACTTGTTCTTTTTTATTACCAAAAAATCAATTTATTTTGTTTTCATATCCAAGTTTAAATTTTTAGTATTTGGAGGGTTAAATTGAGATTTTAACCTACTTTTGAAGGCCAAATTAGCATCAACCAAAATTAACTAAAACCACACTAAAACATTATAGGGCACAGAAAGAAAAATAAAAAAAATTAGGGTCTAATTTTGCAATTTGCCCTTGCACTTTCACCCGGCTTTCTCCTACTTCACCACCCCAACCCCAACTAGCTAAAGTTGCCTATGGCGGAAGAACTTCCTGAACCGTTTTCGAGTAGTGAATACTGAGTAGGGGCCTGGGATGAGGAACTCCACCTCAGTGCTCACTGTTCAGTGCACAATCCTATACAAAGTATTTTCACAATCCTAAAGAACCCAGACGGCATTAAAAGATGATGCTAATGCTACAGCAATCGCAATGCAAAAACTACCGTTGAGGCATTTCACCAAACACCTTACCTGCACGAAACGGATCTTCTCCTCTCAGCTTCCCAAAACCAAAATGGGCCTATCCTCAATATCCTCTTCAACGCCTATGCAACAATCACAATCACTTAAGGTCAAATCCCTCCACACTTCACTCTTCTGCACGCTCATTCACCTCTTCCTCCGCTGCCACCGCCTCTCAAAGGCCATAGGCGCCTTCTCCGCCATGAGAAGTCACAATCTTACTCCTGATATGCGTTCTTGGAACCGCCTCTTGGCTCACTTCAATGATGCCGGTTTGGTCGACCAGGTGATGATTCTTTACTCGGAAATGGTCTCTTCTGGGGTCAGCCCCAATGTGGGCACCCGTAATATAGTTATTCATTCTCTTTGTAAAGTTGGAAAGGTTAAAGAAGCTTTGGTCATGCTTAGAGACTATAATTTGAGTGACACTGTTAGTTATAATACTGTAATTTGGGGATTTTGTAAAAATGGGTTTCAGAAGGCGGGACTTGGATTGGTGTCTGACATGGTTAAAAGGCGCGTAAAGATTGATACTTTTACTTGTAATATACTGATTAAGGGGTTTTGCGAAATGGGATTGTTGGAAACTGCTGAATTTGTGATGCAAATGTTTAGTGGTAGTAGTAATGTTTATAGGGATATTGTTGGTTTTAATACTTTGATTCATGGGTACTGTAAAGTTGGTGACATGAATGGTGCTGTTAGGTTGACTGAGAAAATGAGAGAAGAGGGTGTGTTGCCTGATATTGTGAGTTACAATATTTTAATTCATGGGTTTTGTAAAGTAGGAGATTTTGATAGGGCCAAGAGTCTCATGGATGAGCTCTTGCATTCTTATGAGGATGTGAACGTTTATAACAATAAGCAACAACAGAACAGTGATGAGGGTGAAAATAAGGAATCTTTGGTTAGACGATTGGACGTTCAACCAAATCTAATAACCTATACAACATTGATTACTACGTACTGTAAGCAGCATGGAGTTGAAGAAGTACTTGCCATATACGAGGAATTGATTATGGCAGGGTTGTTTCCTGATGTAGTTACATATAGTACAGTTATATGTGCTCTTTGTAAGGCTGGGAGAATTGCTGAAGCCAAATTACTTTTTGAGGAGATGAAAATTGTGGGAGTAGATCCCAATCATGTCACTTATTCAATCCTTGTGGATACTTTATTTAAAGCTGGGAATGGCATAGCTGCAGATAGTATACAGAGTCAAATGGTAGTTCGTGGTATTGCCTTTGATGTGGTGGTGTTTACAACTTTGATGGATGGGCTTTTCAAGCTAGGAAGGAATAAGGAGGCTGAAGATATGTTTCAGATCCTTGTGAAGTCCAATATAGTTCCCAATCATATTTCTTATACTGCATTATTTGATGGGCGCTGCAAATTAGGTGATATTGAGGGTGCGGAATCTTTGCTGGAAGAGATGGTGCATAAAAATGTTCTTCCAAATATTGTCACATTATCTTTAGTGATTAATGGCTATGTCAAAGAGGGAATGCTTGATGCAGCATCAAATCTTATGAAGAAAATGGTCAGCATGAATATCATGCCTAATGTTTTTACTTATGGCATCCTCATAGACGGCTATTTCAAGGCTGGTAAGAGAGAAATTGCTTATGGTCTTTATGAGAAGATGAAATTGAGAGGGATCAAGGAGAATTGTTTCATATTAGACATATTGGTTAATAATATGAAAAGAGAAGGAAAGGCAGACGAGGCTGAGGCACTATTCAGGCACAAAGTGTCCAGTGGATTTTTACCTGACCATGTCAACTACACATCTCTCATGGATGGACTTTTCAAAGCAGGGAGGGAGTCAGTAGCACTAGGAATAGCGCAGGAGATGGCAGAACAAAATTTAGGATTTGATGTGACTGCATACAATGTATTGGTCAATGGACTATTGGGACTTGGCCAATATGAAATGCAAAATGTTTATGAGGGTATGAGACAATTTGGCTTGTTTCCCAATATTGCAACATATAACACCATGATTAGTGCCTACTGCCGAGAGGGAAAGCTGGAAAAAGCTCTTGAAATCTGGAAGGAAATGATAAGTTGTGGGGTCATGCCTAATTCAGTCACTTGTAATGTTATTGTTAAAGGGCTTTGTGAGGTGGGTGAAGTTGGTAAATCAATGGATCTGTTGAATGAAGTGATTGTTCTGGGGTTTACTCCCACATTAACTACTTATAGATCTGTGGTTGATGCTGCTTCAAAGTGTGAAAGGGCTGAGGCAATCCTGCAAATCCATAGCCAGCTTGTTGATATGGGACTTAAGCTGAATGTTTCAGTTTACAACACTCTTATAACAATCTTATGCAGGCTAGGGATGACTAGAAAAGCAAAATCAGTAATAAAAGATATGAAAGAAAAAGGTTTCTCAGCTGATACTATCACATACAATGCCCTGATACGTGGATATTGTAAAAGCACACATATACAGAAGGCTTTTGTGACATTTACCCAAATGCAGGTTGAAGGAGTTGCCCCAAATATTGCAACATATAATGCTCTTTTAGAGGGTCTATCAACTGCTGGATTGATGGATGAAGCGTCTGAGCTACTTCAAAAAATGAGGAAGGATGGGTTTATCATGAATGCTAATACTTATGAAATTTTGATTTCTGGCTATGGGAAGGCAGGGAATAAAAGGGAGTCGATAAAGATTTACTGTGAGATGATAACTAAAGGTTTTGTTCCTCGAGTTGGCACTTATAATGTACTCATGCATGGGTTTGCCAAGTTGGGAAAGATGAAGCAGGCTAGTGAGCTTATGAATGAAATAGAACACAGAGGAGTACAACCTAATTCTTCAACTTATGACATACTTATAACTGGGTGGTGTGAGCTATCAAATCAAGCAGAGGTTGAGAGGTCACAGAAATTAGCCTACCAGGCTGAGGCGAGAAGGTTATTTAAGGAGATGAACGACAAAGGTTTTACTCCAAGTGAAACCACAATCTCTTGTATCAGTCCAGCTCTTGCAAAACCAGGGAAAAGGGTTGATGCCCAAAGGTGGTTGGAAAAGTTTTACAAGAGGAAGAGCACTTAATTAAAGATGCAGCTTGATGTCCAATTTGGCAAATTGACCAATAGTTAACTTCAAAATATGGATTTCATTGGAAGTTGAAGAGATTATGAAAATGTTTGAAAGAAGAGTGAAAACAAAGAAAGGAATATCATATTTGAGGAGTTGGGCCCAGTAGCAGGTACAGTTCTTTCATATGAAAGTGAGTTTACCTTGTCTCATATTCTGTTCTCATAATCGAATGATAGCTTTCTTAGTTGTTGATGTATTGTTCCTGTGTTGTCTTAGCTCCTTGCTCTTTACTAGATTGAGGAATATTTCTGCCTCCCTTAATGTACATTTCCAAGTACTTAACTCATACGCTGGATGCTTCCAGTGGGCTAATTTTTTATGTTTATATATATCTTATTCACTAATTATTGCAGTCAACGTTCTCTCTGAAACCTTATTGCAGTAAATGTAGTTGAATAATTTAACTGTTTCAATTGATGTATGTATATGATTTTAGACAATTTCCTGATTTTATCTTTGCAATCAGCATGTGCAGTGCAGAAATCATTTCCAGATGGTACATAGCACATCTTCTGTGGAATCTCGTAGAGAAGTATAAGGATAAAATACATGTCAAAGGTTCAAATTATCAGCCACACATAAAGATCTGGGGTTAACTGCTATATCCTTGTGTCGTGCATAGCTGATTTTTCCTGCTGTAGCCTGTCTAGGCCTGTAGATCTTTTTTGGTTCCAATGAACAGGTAATGAGCTAGTCTTTAACTTTCTATGTAGGAACTGTACCATATGTTCTGCTTATTTGAATGATAATTCTTTGATAAGCAGGAGTAAGCTTTTAGAATCTCTAGCATGGTCTGCTTCTAGCAGTCTTGGGAGGGTTACAGTTATTGGCATGGTTTGGTAGAAATTGACGATACATGATTTCTATTTGCTTCTTGATGTTTGTACTCTGGTCCTCTTCCACCACGGCTGAACCAATGATGTGACTTTAGGTTGTTTTACTGTTTAATAATAGAAATTTAAAATTCCCACTTTTTTAAGTGACTTTTTTTCTGTGACAGGGAAAAGAGCCATTATTGCAGAGTTATCCTCCTGGCAGAAAACAGGAGCAAACAACTAATACATAGAGGTTTTTATGGATACCTAAGTTCCCAGTACTACACTGTGAGCACACATTTTCCACAAAACGAGACACACTATGGGTTCAGGAAATTGTCAAATTGATGTTCTCTTTTTCTGTTGGCTGAGCCACATGAAAGTACAATGCCATTGCATTCTACAATCTGATGGTTTAAGGAATTTATATATTCTTCGGGTAGAACTACATTTCTCAAACTTCTATAGGTATATCATCTCTTCCTCTGACCCCCCCCCCCCCGGGGCGCCCTCCAGACGTTTCCTTCCTGCAGTATTGCTTGACTAGCTGGCTCACTTCGATCATAATTTACCAATGCAGGGAGGTTTTGCTTCTTGGGTGTCTCTCTAGTTTGCATCAACTGGTTTGATTTTGATACAGATTGATCAATTAGGTCATTGCACATCCTTAAAGTCTGAAGTTACATGAATCATGACTGCTTATCTAAGACCAAATTGTTTCATTGACACCACAGAGTATGAAAGTCATAGTTTTGGACACATTCTACATGGGGTAAGTCTGGATTATTTTTTTTTTCAAACGTCAATGAAGATGGTTAGTAGAAATTTGGCTGTACTCTCTGGACATTTTTTGGCTAATATTGTTCTATGAGATTATTGTTATATCCTAAAGGAAAACAGCATCCAATTCTGCTGGCAGTTTGGGATCTTGAATACTTGTTTGCTAACCACTGGACTTAAAAGAAGTTTGTGACTATAAAGAATCAATAGGCAAGAAAACTACTCGTGTTTTTTTACTATTCAATCTTTTTCCATGATTTAGTGCCACTGTCAGTGTTACTGATGACCAATGGTTTTGACAATTTTTTTCCCACTTGGTAATATAATGAAGTGCAAGGATGCAGACTTGTTCTCAAGACGTGAGTCAACAATTTGTATCACTCGAACTACCTAAGGATACAATTTTCTTTACTCAGCTAATTTTAGCTAGATTAAATATGAGAAATGGATACTGAATTTCTTGTAATACCAGCTAGCCTAATCCCACATTGCGGGTTGCATGCTTTTCAGCATTTTCAGTAGATGCAAATTGTTCTGTTAAAGCTGGTCGCGGCCACTGATTCAAGATCTTTTCTTTGCTTTCTAATGTATACAAATGACATCACTTTAATCCAGGATAGAGGTACTTAATTTTTATCTATAGTTCATAGCTCCTGGGAAAAGTAATATCACAATGTTCTAGTTTCACATCTAAATACTATGCCATTAACTCATGGACAATGCAAAATTAAGTATTAATGACGACTTCGCCGCATCTTATAAAGGTTCAATTATAGCCCTGCTATAACTCCCAATGCAAGATTACAGTTCATGGATTCTTGCTGCCACTGTTATGACTTCATTCAATATCGTACTGATAACAAGAAAGATCAGAGTTTTCCCAATTGTTCCATCTCTTATATTCCTATGTGTATGATCTGTAAAATTTTACGGTGTTTGACTAATTCATGCTGGATCTATAATACAGTATTTGAGTACAAATACACAGCATGGCGTCTTCTTTATGTATGTAATTTCTGAGGTATTGGTTGATGCAAAGATGGTATAACATTGGGTTTGCCAGACATAAATACAACAGTTGGAATTGTTATGAGGTCTCAGAAATTTGGGTTAATAGCACAACTACTATGACGAGTTTAAGGACCCCAGTTCCTAACTTCCGGGCTATGGGTTTTGTTCACTGGGTTATATTCATTCACCTACTTAGGTTGTTGATCTGACTTTGAATGGTAAATTATTCATTTTCTCTTGTTGCTTTGGGCCACAATAGCTATCTGGTTGGTGCACTCTTTATGGTGTATTGTTCTCTGTGATCAAGGTCCATTCAGTATTCCATGAATGAGCAACAATTTCCTGGAAAAACAGCAGAATCAGATGATACATTTGGTTCTCTACCAAGTTCATTGATCATTTAACTACATGTTGAAGAAGGATGCATTTATTTTATCTGTTCAAGACTTGTGTCCGTTTGTCCTGCTTTCTGCTCTGACATCCCTTGTCTATCTCTTGCAGCTTCTTGAACATGTCATACGTATGGTACCATGGCATTGAAGGAATTCTAGTTGCATGTGGTGGACATGCTTTTCTGTGATAAGGTGAAGAGTGGTGCATGCCCACCAACCCAACTCCCCCCTTCCCCCCCCCCCACCCCACCCCAACCAAAACCCAAAAAAAAAAAAAAAGAGAGTAAAAAGCATGCAGCTTGCATTGGATGGCCTTTACAGTTTACAGAGCGATGCTTGCAATCTACTTGATATGGACGTGAGCTTAATCTACTTGGAGTGAGTAAATTTATGCTGCAATAGTGTGGAGCTGTTGCGTATTACTCCTAGCTATTGAGAAGCAACATTAATTCTTGGCATCAAAAGCTAACAATTTCGTTTTACTACTAGTGTATTACCTCATGTTACTACCTTCTTTTATCTGAGACTGCTGAATGTCTCCTACTTTCTTTGAAGACAGGAGGAAAGGAGAATCAGTTAAACGGTTTGGACAACTGGGACTTCATTTTTAGTCAAGAGTGGGGTGCAAAATTGAAGACAGCAGATCACGGATAGGGTATGCTTCATTTATTGAAAGGGTGAATGAAATTCCAGATGCTGCTCGAGTGAGTACACCAACCGCTCTGTTTTCTCAAGACCAGACAATAGAACATGGAGAGTCGTGTTAAGGCTTTAGGTGCAGGCACTTCTCCCTGTGAAGAGAGAACAGCTCAAAAATATTAAAGGAAGCCACATGCAGGAAAGCATAATAATGGAAACAAGCTGACCAGACTTGACGCCATTACACCTAATTGAGAGGTATGTTTTGATTAGGAAGGCATGAATTTACGATTAGTCTTGAAATGGAAATAGGAGAGCCTTTCTTTGCAGTTTGTTTGGTGAGTTACAATAATGATAGATAATCAAAGAATCAAGAGAAGCAATCCCAGTCCTTGGATCTGTTGTAGCCTGTGAACAGCTCAAATTTTCGGCCAAGTGAAGGACAAAAATTGATCTGTTATTGAATCATGACCAGTTGCTTCCCTTAATCAAAATCTTAGTAATGTGTCACTTCATGTTAATGACTACATGTGCAGTTGTCAAAAAAAAAAAAAAGCAATTTTCTTTTGATATCAAAGTAGAAAGCGTGATTTGTAACTTTTTATTAATAGTCTTGCCTAGCGATTTTGTTGGAACGAATCAAATATTTGCTCATCTAATTCTACCCTATCCAGAAGTAGAAATCTGGCAGCCTAACCAGTGACCCCCCAAAAGAGCATATTAACGTTTAATGTAGTTTAGATCTAATTCGCACAATTTGCTTGCCGATCCCTTTCCCATTTTAGAAAAAGAGAAAGAGGGTCGGACTTCTAGACAAATGTAAAGAAAGATGAAAGTAAAGCGAGTATCCCATTGTCCATTCTGCTTCACTTTTTCTTCTCATTTTTCCAAGGCTGACTAGAATCTCTTCAGTCTAGAAGAGCCTATATATAGATCTTGGAATGTAATAAGTGAAGTATTTTAACGAGAGAGAATCAGAAAATGTCGCATCAAGGCAGGACAATTGCCTTTGGAAGGCAACTGTTTCTAGCATTTAAAGGCCCAAAATTTTGGTTCACAAAACAAATATTCAAAAGCATCCTTCTGCTCAAATAACGCCTGTAGTTCTAATATCACTAACATGTAATTTTTTTTTGAAATGAATAATACAAGAATTTAATATCAACGCTACTCTTTTACTTTTATTGAAATTGTCATACTTTTTAATTTGAGATATTTTAAAATGTTTGTCATCATATCAAAATTTAAGTCAATATTTTCAAAATCGAAACGAATCGGTTGATTTGATCAGTAAGATCGCGAATCGGCTCAGTATCCGATCTAGTTCACTGCCTAGCGTTGATTTCACATAAATATGATTTGTGATCTCTTTTTTCAATATCATTTCCACCATTATCTATATTTCATATCAAATTTGAATATGAATATTTGAGTGCAATTCTAAATATAAATTCATTAACATCATCAAATCACTATTCTCAAGAAGTTCAGAATTTTGAAATACGGCAATCAATAATTTTTTTGGGATGCGGAAGTTTTTTTTTTTTTTTAAATAACAATCCAAGATTTATTCCAAGACTAGTACATTATGTTCTGACTCGAAAGTTGTAAAAGTTGTGACATAATGATGTTGGACAGACGCGTTGCTGCATTGAATGATGTACCCAGAAAATGAATCTGTATAAAGAACATGGCTGTGGATTACGTGTCCGAAAGAATTTTACTACAAAAATGAATGAAGTATCCCTGCCCTGGTCCGTCGAGGGGTTGGGTGAAAGCTGCCAATAGTTTACTGCCAAGAGCCATTGGTCCTCTGTTGCCTGGCTGCTACGAGTTGAAGAATTTGAATTGAAAATTTCCACGAAGCCTCTCTCTCTCTCAATCCAAAAGAAGATCAAGTGCATGTGGATGCCTCCGCTAATTGCTCCCCAATTGGCACCAGCAGACAACAGAGAAAACTGCAGTACCAATTGGCCACAAAAAGCACCGAAATGCGAGCAAATTGATGTTATGTTGGAGCTGGAATTGGACGCGGCTTGCGCCAGTCAGTTGTTCTTTTCCACTACATGGACCAATATGAGATAAACAGGTGTAGACATGATTCTATACCCGTAGAAGACACAGTACATTTTACCAGCAGACAACAGTACATTTTTTTTTTTTCAAAATTCCTATGTGATACTCCCTCCGTCCCACTTTGACAGTCCTGTTTTTTTTTTCACACAGTTTAAGAAAAAGTAATTAACTTTGTTGGAAAAGTAAATTTAGATTGCTATTTTTCTAAAATATCCTCACATTAAATATGGTACAACTTTATGGGAACTTGAATTGATGGTAAAAAAAGAATCAACTCTCATGAAATGTGGTAGTTTTATAGTAACAACTACTTACATTGAAATAGGGTATTTTAGGAAAATTAAAATACAACTACATTCTTCAATTGGAAAGTGGACTACAATTTGGAACAGATGAAAAAAGAATACAGGACTATCAAAGTGGGACGGAGGGAGTATAAAGTTTACTAATTAGTAGTACTACGATGGATTATACAATTTCTCACCTTTGGTTTTGGCACATTATATTAGGGTGAGATTTCAAGATCTATATGGACAGGAGATTATTTGAAAATAATACTATGGTACGTTTTGTGATATAATGCATGGAAAATAAAAAAGACGATTGAAAATTATATTTATAATACAAGCAAGAAATCTTGTTAATCAAAAATTCAAAACTACCTCGGCAACCTCAATTAATGTTACGAGCAGCTCATGCACTCCAATGAACTATTGGGTTTACATCATGACATTCAAAAACTTTTAGTTTTAAGGATAGAGGAATGTAAAATATGATGTTATATGACTTTATGTTTTTTATTTAAATTCTAACAATTTAGAGCCCATTTGCATTGTGAGTTTTGGAAAAAAAAATTTTCAAATTAACACATTTACTAATCATCTTTTTATCTTATATACATCAGATTTTTATATGACATTTTTTTACAAACTTTTTTTTTAAAAAAAATTGGAATGGAAACGAGAACTTATCTTTCTGCACTAGGACATTTAAGTTTTTTTCAAAACTTTTTATTGGAATATTTCAAAAATTTCAAAGAGATATGAACTATTTATGTAAGTTTTTTCAATGTGATGCTATTAGTCAATACTTTTAGCTTTTAGTAGCATTTTGCAAGAAAATTGTCTTGGTTTCCAATAGTACAGTGTTTGGATACCAAATTATTCCAAATAATATTTCGCTTGCATCACAAACACATTTCCCAATCTACCTTTTTATATTCCCAATCACCTTTTTATCTCACATACATCATATCACAAAAAGTGCTACAGTAATTATTCCAAATAATATTTCAAATAATACACTATCCAAACAAACATCAACAATACCCACACCTTAACTTTACTAAAAAGGTGATTCCGCCCGGAGTGATTGTGCTACCCCAAATCTAGGGATAAGTCCACTTCCAACAACTTTTGGTCGCTACAAATTTCCATCCCCCCACATGACAACATTATTTTACTGCCTATAAATCTATATAATCCACATGCAAAGGCCCTCTTCCTCACTTCTTCACATCTCAGGAGTCTTGCCATTTGACTACCATTTCTCTTTAGTTTCCAGTACCTAATATTAATTTTATTTTTCTTCTCCTATGCACTAGAGATCAAGAATAGTAGCAGCAGAAAGTATGATGGATCTTAAGAAGCTCTACCTCATTGGCACAATCTTGTTAAATCTGTCCATATTAGCCGTTGGTGCTCAGCCCAGGAAGCCAGTGGATGTGCCATTTCAGAGAAATTATGTGCCATCTTGGTCTGCTGACCATATCAAGTACATAAAAGGAGGTAGCTCTGTTGACCTTGTACTGGATAAGATCTCAGGTATGCCCTTCTCATTTTGCATTCCATTTCTTTCAATATTCACACATTTGAGTGGTTTTTGGAGCCAACAAAAATCCCTTTTTGTTGCTTCATTGGCAATGTGCAACTTTTTTTATCTCTGCCATTTCATGTATTCCACTCTTAAGAGTTCTAGATTATGATATCGTGCTACTTAGTCTGTCTCATTCCTTCCGATTGTAAGTATAATGATCAAGAATCTGTCACTGGCTTGGAGTACTTTAGACTAGATAATCTTGCATTTGTAATTCGTAGTTCAATTCGATCCAAAATAAAAAAGAGATCTGAGTATTCTGCTTTCAAAGCTTCTTCCTAGTACCTTAAACTAAGTTACTGTTTCAGATTGTTACTAGAACTCTTGAGCTAAGTTTATTAGCCATTTACTGTTGGGGCTTCCTTTTTTCTTTTTCTTTTTTTTAGCTTTGTTTTCTTTTTGGGGATCCATGTTTAATAAAGCATTTACAGTAATTTACTCACAATTACAATGTTGAAGCTAGTGCGGACTGTTGAGTATCATCTAAACATATACTATCATGGATTTAAGTTGTGACAAAATTGTCAAATTCCATCTTCAAATCCTGTTTGGCGTAAAAGTGAAAGCATGAATTTGTGCTTTGTGACGAAATTGTCAGCTACCGAAAGCTACTTGTTCCTGATATCTGGGAGGTTACCAGAGGCCCCTTCCCTTAATGGCTTTGCAAGTTAAAATGAGAAAATATATGCATCAGAGTAAGTTCTATGAGATAGCTCTTTATTTACCATTTCTTTTCCTCTTTAAAGGTACTGGATTTCAATCAAAAAATTCGTATCTGTTTGGGCATTTCAGCATGAGGATGAAATTGGTGGGAGGGGATTCAGCTGGTGTTGTAACAGCATTCTATGTAAGTGAACATGCCCTCTTTGTTACATTTTACCACCAAAAAAAAAAAGAAGAGTACACAATAAAGTACCAAAAAGAAAAGCTATTTTTCACATGATTCTTCACAAATCAAGAAACAGCTAATTTGATAGGAGGAGCAATAAAGAATTAATGAAGAAGACCAAATATAGATGATGCCTAATGGTTATGTGGTTGTATATATTATTGTTTCAGCTGTCATCACAGACTAATGAACATGATGAGATAGATTTTGAGTTCTTGGGAAACAGAACAGGGCAGCCCTACATATTACAGACAAATGTGTTCACAGGAGGTAAAGGGGACAGGGAGCAAAGGATCTATCTTTGGTTTGACCCTACCAAAGGTTTCCACGACTATGGTATCATATGGAACATGGATATGTTAACGTAAGTTCCCCACCATCTGCAAAGTTTCTCTGTCGGTAAAAATGGTTTTGTCCCCAAAAAAAAAAAAAAAACCTTTCAAAAAGGAAGGGAAAAAGTCAGGAAGATTTGAAAATTGAATTAGGAATCTCATGATTACTTTGTTAACGTCTAAGTCAAGTGAATAATTAATTGATTATTTATTAAGTGCCATCTTCATCACTATGTTCATTTAACTATGAACAAATATTTGTGATGATAAATGCAAGATATACTTAGTAGGTTGGTATAATTTCTTTTCCAAAGTTCTTTTTTTTTCATGGTATAATGGAATATAAGTT